TACGGCTCTTGAGAGCCGCCGGGCCGGGCCGGGCCGGGGGGGAGGCACAGCCCCCCGCGTTGCCACCTCCCCTGCAGCTCGGTGCCCTGAAACCACGTTGAAACTCGGTTTTCTCGTGCTCTGCTGCTGTGCTGTTTCCCCCCTCCCAGTAATGGTGGGACAACTCGCGTTTCTAGGCAGTGGCGAGGAGTTTGCTGGCATTTCTGTGTTTGTTCTGCTCCTTTATCCTGCTCGTTTATCCTGCTAGCAGCTGATCCTGGGCTCTTGCAAGCTGCGCACAGTTAAAAGGCACGTGCCTGTTTTATTTGTTGCCTGCTTGACAAGGTACTCATGCCAGTGAATGTCAGCTTGCCATAAACTGGAGCCAAAGTAACTTTCTCTCAGTAATTCATTAATCCATGTATTTAAGACCTTCTCAGGGTCTTCTCTAGATACTTCAAAGAAACTAACCAGCATCTGACTAAAAATACATCCTAACGCATAAAAGACAAAGCAGAAGCACTGGCTTATTAAGTAAAGCAGATGTCAGCAGATCAGATTTGTGTGTGTTTATGTATTTATCTGTTCTCTTAATCGAATAAAGAATGCTGTTGGCCACACACCCCTTTATCTTGGGCAGTATCCATCTGCATTAGGAACAGAAAGATGCAGTTGATTATTTTCGAGCAGAGAAGCGCACAGACAAGAGGTGACTGGCAAGAGGGACATGTCTTCTATGACTGTGACCTTTAGATTAAAAGGATTCTCCCACTCCATATGCTTAAATCATCAGAAAAAAAAAAAAGAAACAACCCAAACTTAGGGACAGTTTAAACCACAAGCAAGATAATTCAGGAGGGGTAACGTGTATGCTCGTATACACACACGAGAAAACGTACAACAGAAAATTTAATTCTCTGTGTCCCGAGTGCTTATGGGCTTCATAGCTGAGACGAATTGCCTTTTGCCTGGGTGGAAGGTTGAGGAAGTATGGGTGGCTTGCTTTCCAGGAAGGACAGCCCATCTACCTGGCGGTGAAGGGAGTAGTATTTGATGTCACTTCTGGAAAAGGTGAGTTTGCTCCTCTGCTTTTGTTTTCATGCTGTTATTCTGTCATTTGTTTTTAAATATTCCCATGTATTAGAAGTCTGCAGTTCAAGTGCAACAAAAAGCATATACATTTTCCTTTTTACTTACTGCTGTATTTGCTGTTTGTGCCTTCCCTAAGAAACACAGATGTTTTAATTTGAAGTCCCGCTACTTAATCCAGATTTGCTGTAAATTGTTTGAAGGGACCATGGGGGTCCTGGACACTTGCCTTCACGTCATCACAAGCGACCTAACGGCTTGTTGCATTGTTGGTACTAAGGTTGTTAATGCAGTTTGTCTGGGCCTACGCGCTGGCTGATGTTCGAATCCTAAGTTAGACAAGGCTTGACATTACAAATTCTGGAGTCTACAAACCTCTTCTCATGAGAATGTTAAGCACAGCTCCCTAAATAATAGGTAAATTTTAAGAATGTGGTATAGGAGTTTAACAGTTGTATTGTATAACCCCGCCCCCTGTTTTGGTTTGGGTTTTTTGTTGTGTTGTGTTTTTTTTGTTGTTTTTTAAGGATTGGCATATATTATCAAAAATTAGCAAATCAAAAGTCAGTTTTGGAACAAAGAGTTTTAGACTTGAGTTGTTGCTTTCAATTCACTGACAAGTGTAACAGGCTGGTGAAAAGTAGAGGCTGAACATAACCTGTACATTGTCAGATCATCACTGGATTTTAACTTTTTTTTTTTTTTTTTTAATCTGACAGAATTTTATGGAAAAGGGGCTCCATACAATGCTTTGGTTGGAAAAGACTCAACAAGAGGAGTTGCAAAGATGTCTCTGGATCCGGCAGATCTTACACATGACATAGTAAGAAAATGGACTATTAGTTTAATCCCATTTTGCAAAGCTTTATTCTTTTGCAAGATGATGAATGATAGTATTATTTGTATTAATTTATTTAGGTTGATTCATGTGTTTAAAAACCAAAATGCATTCATATTCTGTAAACACATAAAATGGCTATTTACTGCTCATGAAAGCTGCAATGCTAACAGCCTTAAAAAGTTTTTTATCTGTGGAATTGATACAACTTCTGTAAGCACATAAAGGGGAAATTCCCTGCTGTTTCAAAAAGGTGCTTCTAAAGAGAGTCAATCACTTTCTTTGTGAATTGATTTAGGGCATCGTGTGTCACTGACATGGTGGTGGATGCTGACTCCAGCAGTGGGTTGTTGCTTGTTTGAGGTGTGACTTACTTATGCAGGCAAAATGGAGATTAATGGTTTGTTTGGCCTGAATATATTAGGGCTGAATTTGAATGAAGAGAATTACAGGTTATATCATCAATTTTGTAATCATGCTTTGCAAAGTAAACCCAAAAGTTAAGGTTTGTAGTAAGCAATAAAAAAGAAATATGCATGTAAATATTTGTATTTTTATCTCTTTGAGACAGCACTTTCATTTCCATATTTCATTTAGACAGGACTCACCGAAGAGGAACTGAAGTCCCTGGACGATATCTTCAATAACGTCTATAAGGCCAAATATCCAATTGTTGGCTATACTTCTCGACGAATCCTGAATGAGGATGGCAGCCCCAATCTAGACTTCAGACCTGAAGATCAGCCACATTTCAACATTAAAGATGAATTTTGAGGAACATTTTTGTACCTAGCGAATACCTGGGGAGAGGCATGATAGAATATTAGATTAATTCCCTATTTTCTGGAGTTCATTACACCTGTTAGTATCATGAGTCAGTTTTTTGTTTAGAAAATACGTGCATGTGTACACACATAGTTTACTTAACATTCTTCCTTCCAGGAAACAAACCAATCTGTACTAGTGTCATACACTTGGGCTATTTGTTCTGATTTATGGGAATTATTTCCTATCAAAGTTCTTTCTGCCTGGATTTCTCTGTTTACAAGTGTGTAATGTGAAATTATATTCCTTAGAAGAGATAAGGAAGTTTTTCATAGTTGAAACATGACTGGTCTTTTTTGTAAATCCTGAGTTGTTTCCCACACCTTGGAAAAGCGTGAATGCATTATCTGGATGAACTAACATCAGTTCTCCGTGCTTCAAGAGAGCGTAGGTATCGCATGTACAAATAGGTGCACTAGAGGCTTATGTTTGAAAAAGCATTGTGGGATTTACATATTTGATAGGTTTGAGAATACTGGATATAAACCCACTCTTAAAATGCAGTTGCTGTGGAGTATTTATGCAAAGCCTACAGCTGTAAACCAAGAATTTTTTTTTTTTTTCCCCCCATGAGACCTACTGGGACATTTTAAGTAAGATCATTGTGTTAGCTTTGAATCACAGAACGGTTTAGGTTGGAAGGGACCTTAAAGACCATCTAGTTCCAACCCCCTGCCATGGGCAGGGACACCTTCCACTAGACCAGGTTGCTCATAGCCTCATCCAGCCTGGCCTTGAACACTTCCAGGGATGGGGCATCCACAGCTTCTCTGGGCAACCTGTTCCAGTGCCTCACCACCCTCTCCGGGAAGAACTTCTTCCTGATATCCAATCTAATCATAACACTAACTTTTAAAATAATTATCAAAGATGTCATCTGTATTAGATTATGATGATTTCCTTCCAGCTTCCTCCACTCTCTCTCTGACAAATAAAGGGAACGACACCCCATTGTTTACCACATACTCTTACAGCACAAGTTTATTATAGTGGTGTAATAGTATCCTGTGGATATTGGTAGCATCTCTATATTTACAATTTCAGGTCTCATTTTTAATTTCTATTAGTTTCTCTTCGTTGTTACTCTGGCTTCATCACTGCTGTTGCAATGAAGCGTGCATTCCTATGTTCCTCTTCCTTTTAACCTAATAAAACTGCAGCTCCTCTAGGGTGAAAGCAGACCCCTTTACGGGATTTCTCTGCCAGTCTTTTAGCAGCAAGAGGACTGTAAAATCACACACTATACAAATTGCTGCTAACCACTGACTTTCACTAGCTTAAACAGAATGTGAATTGTAATGGATTTATCTACCACTGTGACAGGTTGAATTGACATAGAAAAGCTGAGAAGCTTTTCCCAATTCCATATGAATAATATGGATATAGTAAAAATTCTGTGTTTTGTTCTATTTCTTTAGAATTTTGGCCATTTTCTTTGAAGGACAGATTGTCCACTTTATGGTTTGCAGGGGACAACTGCCTGTCAGTTGAACAACCAAAAAAACTGTCTATTTCTCCTTTCTTTCATGATGTTACAGGTCTAACTCTAAACTTGCTTTGTGTCTTACCATGAGGCTACTTAATTTGCAGGACGGCTCCATGACTCCTCGCCATTGGATGGTGCTCTGGTGGAATAAATAATGTAGCATCTAAGAAAATGCTATTGCTTCAGAGAATTATTTTTGGTTTATTGTTACTACTGCTGACCTTTTGGTGCCAACAGCAGCTGGGAGTTGGCCCCTTGAGGATGCCTGCCCACAGGTGTGGGTCTACACCTGCCACCTTTATGGGAATGCACATGGGTTGGATGGTAAGGGTAGTGGTGCCTTTGCCAGCATTTCACAAATAATTTTCCAATGCCTACTGTTTCTTCCCCTTCTCCTTTCCTTCCTTATGGGGCAGCTTCAGCTGCTGTGATGACTCTAATATCTTGGCTTCAGCTGGGATTGGCATACCCAGGTGCGTTTCCAAAATGCTGTAGCTAGAACGAAGCTCATCGCCACTGAGGGGCTCAGTGTTGCTGGCCTCTCCCTGCTTTTCATGCTGTGAAGGTCACCTTTGCTGATCGCAAAGCAGATAACTCAGCTTCTATTTGTCATAAATTTCAGGTTCATTTCAGTAAAGAAACCCTCCTGTTGCAACAGGAAACGGTGATACAAACCCCACTCTTGAGGTGCGAGATCCTTGCGAATCCAACCCGCCCTCACTCATGTCTGTAAACAGAGAGGGATGCTCTAGTCCTTCCTTCCTGTTATTAAAGACAGGGTTATCTCAACTGAGTGCATTTTAGAATGCAAAACCTTTCCTTTCTGGTTTTATTTCCATTTGGAAACTGAAGGATTCTAATCACTTCTGAGGTGATGTCACTTTAGGTTCCCCCTCCATAGAACAGTGTTATGATGATAAGGCTTTAAGTGGGTGTGTATCCTTAACATGTTTTCACTGACTACTTCTTACAATTAATTCAGAGCACCACCAGTATTTCTTTTAGTGTTGATTTAATGACACTATGTCTAAGGATGTTACTTGCCAGCAGCCTGAAATTCATGTTGCCTAGATGCAAACTGTCTGCTATGGTTGTTTTGTTCAGTAAGTTGCATTTCTCCCACGCCTGTATTATTCCAGTACGGTAGGTGCCCTCAATATAAACTGCACTCGGAACGAGTGTGTAAAGCCCTGTCGCAGCCCTCCTACTACTCCACACCTCCTCCGAGGAGTGCAGAGCTTCCTTTCAACTTCCTTGCTGCTTCCAGAGAACATTGCAAGTGCCGTTAGTTTTGCTGTGCTGCTTCTCATCTGATCTTACGGACAACGTGGGTGTTTGAATGGTCTGAGGTTTCAAAGAGTTGCTGTGCCAACAGTTACCTTACTTTGGTGTTTAATAATAGTTTCCTCTTCAGAACGCTAAGAATTATCAGACGACTTCATGGCTTAGGCGATACATGATCTGAGTTGCTGTTTGCAACCCAGCACTCTTCAACAGCCCCTCACTTTGATCACAGTCCATTTGACTAACCTTTGTGACAGGGTAGATTCTATCATCCACACTTAGGTTCTCTGATTAACAGCGGGAGGAACAGGACTAATAACAGAAGCAACCAAAATTTAGTGAGAGGTTATGAAATGCAGAAATAAGCATTATGTTTATTTTTGCAGCTGTAGAGACCGCAGTTATGTGAAAACATGCTACGAATGTGTGAGATGTGTCAGCACCTGTTAGTCACAGCAGTTCCTGCATCCTCATCTAAACAAGAAGATCACCTGCCAGAACGCAGGTACTCCGAATCCTGCAGACGGAGCGGCTGAGATTTTTCCAAAAATCTGGGATCAGACATAAGCCAAAGTTACTTCTTTCATAACTGTAACATGTATATGGACACCATTCTTCCTGTTTTCCTCTGGCAAAATATGAGCATTTTGTTGATTTAAGTGAATCAGTTTCTGTATTGGTTTTCTTACACAGAAAAGGCCTTGTGTTTCTTTGAAAACTGCAGCACAGGCTAATATTCTCCGTGGTCTGATGATACTGGCTGGGAATTTGTAATATCATAGGAATCGGTGTTGGGTCGTGGTTCAGGCTGCAGACTGGGACCTGGCAGACTTGCACATTTCAGTAAAAATTAAAAGAGGATGCTTATCTAAGTATCTTGGGAATGGGAGAAGCCTCACCACATCTGCTCAAGAGAAAATGGAAGAGACGTGAAAAGTTTGATATGGGAAGTCCCATGCTAATTTTTCAGCTGATCTGGGTAAACTGAGATGAAAAAAAATTAAAGAAACCTTTTGACTGCTGTGAGTGAAAAAGCTGCCATTCAGTAGGATTCAGCTGCACACCAGTAACATGTGCTAAGTAGCTCTGATTAGTATTTGCATATTTTCAGATGAACACTGCATATTCTCAGGGATATCTTGAAATCCCCAGAGCTGATCTAAGCGATGACAATCACACACTTCGTAATTCATCATCCATTTCTGCTTTTGCTTAATGTCTTCCTGCCCATGCAGGAAATACACATGCAACCTGTAAGACAAATCCATGCACTGTGACTAATGTTCAGATAAAGTAAAATACACATGAACCTATAATCTGAAAGCTACATGGTATACAGGATGGCTGTTTTCAGAGAAAAATCAGTCCTTGTCAGTGAAGGGTTTGATTAAACTGAACAAACCCCATTCACTTTTGGATTTGTAGTAATTACTTCACTCAGAGCCCTATCTGTGAATGCTGATTCAGATAGTTGTAATATAGACTCTATCTGGCTGCTTTGACAGAGAAGTCAGGGCTATGTCAAAAGGTGGCTTATTTTCCACCCCATCCTATCAGAGTCTCAAAGAACTAAGTGTATGACAGGTGGGCATCACTGCTAGAAGGACTCTAATGGCATAGGCATGATTTTGATCTTGGCAGGACCAAAAAAACCCTAATCCAGCAAACAGAATAGGTGGGAAATGAGAATGTATCTCGGTGCACTATTGGGATGACTTACACTGGTAAAGCAGGTTTGGCGGAGCAGTGCCTGCAGGTCTTAAACCAGACAGTGCTTCCTATTTTTGCTTCAGTCCACCATGGTCAGTGCTAACAATGTTAGCTTGTACCCTTACCCATCTGTTGGTCTTTACCCAACACCTTCTGGTTTGGCTTTTTACTTCCTGTTTAGCAGAAGGTGTGAGTCCTCATTTACTTGTTTACAAAACCTAAGCTTGGATCTTCTTGGCTTGGGTTATCTGTTGCCAAGGACTCCAAAATAACAGATAGAAACCAAGATTAATGTTCTGTGAAAAGCAGAGCCTGTGCACCTGGATGAACTGCAGAGCCACAGGAAGTATTCTTGAATAAACAATTCCTCTTGCTGCTTCCCGCAGGTTATTTGTAGCAGTTGCAATCAGGAATCCTGCACTGTTAATGAATGTTCAGATTTACCATGTTCTGCAGTGCTCCTTGACGT